TATATACTGTGAGTGTGCAATAACAACTTAAGCATTTTCAAATAAAATTCTTTCTCAGCTTTAACATTTGTAAGTTTACCACTTAAATGATATAGACTGGTCATTTCTGCAACACAAAACAAGAGATAAGGGAATTTCACTTAAAGTTTCTGGCAAATAAGAAAATTATTATTAGAGAGGATGACAAGCTGTGTGGAGCTGCAGCATTATGTGTTTATTCAGAGTAGCAACTGTTGTGATAATTAACACACTTTGAGACAAATTCAAGCAAAATTTCCAAATATGTGATGGTTAAAGCTTCTGTGATGATTTGTGAATACCCTTGTCTTACATCATAGTGATAGTGAATATCTCTGGGTCTGGGACTTTGGGCTTGAAGAAATCAAACAATGTTTTTTGACCCCAAACGATTAATCGGTATATAGAGAAAATAACTGCTAGATTAATAGCTAGTAAAAATAACTGTTAGTTGCAGTGCCAGCTGTGTTATTGCTTTCTCTATCGGTCTGCGTGTACATGATGGGATCAGGCAGTAACCTGTACTGTACCTTTCATTCAGTTTTGCCTTGTACTCTGACCTAGGCTTGAGGTGCAAGGTTAAGGATGAGAGTGAGGTGCCAAAGGAGGACAGCAAGCAAGGGGAAGGTCAGTGTTTGAGTAAATACAGCTGGGGAGTGGTTACTATGTCTGAACTAAAGCTAGGCCTATGGTAGAAGAAAAGGAAACTTCTTGTGTGCATCTGGTGTGCAAATATCACAAAGGGGTTAAAGTCTTTGAACACATACACACTCATACACACAGTCTGAAAGAGTCCCAAACACCCTGTGAAAATCTTGATTGGAAGGGATGAGGCGAGGGGCGTGGCCTGAAACAGGCGACAGGTATCCTTCCTGTTTTAGATTGCAGCTCCCGCCCCTCTCGTGTGCTTCAGCTGCACATTATGCTCCTCCCTTTTAGAGAATAAGCAATCCCATCACTGGGTTTGTTTAGTCGTCCACAGAGCTCCTCTCCGTTTGATTAGGAGAGAGGGTTGTGGCATCAAATGACAGAGTTCGCCTTCTCAGCTCAACACTGCTGTCCATCAGTTGGGTTGCCATAGTGACCGGCTCCACTCCCGGTGGCGGGCTCATCCTGTGTTTCTTGTTCCTGCCAGACACCGGGGACACTGATTGGCTGAGGCGGCTCCTGAGCTCCCCGTGGCTTGGGGCAAGATGTCTGCTTGTGTGTGAGGAGCTGGGAGTAAGTTGTGTCTGTGTGTGAACAGTACTGTTAATACGACTGACCTCCTCGTCAGCATCGTCCGACTGCATGCCAGGGTCAGAGCCGAGGCCTGGGTTAGCTGCTCTGGAGCTACAGAGCGGAGCCGACAGGGTGATTTCACCGCTAGCGACCTTCAGACTGGACAGGCTCTGTGAGCTGAGAGGCCTCTTCTCGACAGGTGTTTCTAGCTGCGAGCCACAGACGGCCTGCTCAGGTACACATTCTTGTCCAGTGGTTTCACTGTGGCTCCTGCATGAGATGATCCTCTGGGGATGTGTATATTTCAGTGTGTGAACACTGGATGATTGCTGACATGGTGGTGTGGAAGAGACAGCGGGTACAGCGAGGTGAGGCTCTGCCAGCTCGTCAGCTGAGCCGCTCTGATCCAGAGAGTCACAGCACACTGCCTCCTGTAGTCACAACACATGCACAATGCACAAAGATGACAATCTTCATAACGTGTTAGAGTGTGCAGGTAAACATTCTATGTGGCAATTTGGAAACAGATAATCATAATGTATATGTGCAATGTAGTGATGAGCCAGCAGATCACCACAGAATTATAATTATAATGTATAATTATAACAACATTTCACAATAATTCCTGTTAATTATAAACACAAAAACCATCAGATTATGTGCAGAAGTACAATTCTGAATAAGTTTATTATCCTGTCCAAAGTTTTTGGTTGTTGTGAGCACTTCTCCTGTCTACACTGGACCTGAAGCGATCCCTTCCTAGAGAAAATACTCTGTATATGGGCGACAATATCCACAGTCTCTGCTATGTATGAAAATTCATTCTCAAAGGTAACATTTGGCTTCAGCAATCTGAGTTGCAGCACCAAATAAAGTGGGTATTTTCTTAAATCTACTAATGTGTAACTACCAGGAAATATTTGTCAACCACAGCTCAGATGTCCAGGGAAATACAAAAAAGGGAATTTCATTATAAAACGAGTATAAAAGAGTATTAACTTTGTCTGAACTGAGGTTTAGATTTTTCCCTCATGTTTTACAGTATTTTCAGTTTAGAGACGGATCTCCTCATTATGAAAAGGACAAACAAGTACAGAAACAAATTACTCTGTCAGTGCACATGCACACTAAATAGGTTGAATGGTTTACAACTCAAAAGTCATGACACAGAGCTGCAAAAAATGTATGAGTAGCTTTTTCTATTTGAGCCAAATTACTACAACTGACTAAAAACCACACATTCTTTCCAGCAGAGCTAAAGATTCTGCAGTGTTTGGTCCCTTTTCCATCCATCCCAGGCATCACTAAGAAAACCAACAACCATCCATCACAGTGAACATATAGTATAGTCTTGATTCACCTTAGTAAAAAGTTGGATCAAGTTAAATTTGATTATCATAACATTAATGCTGTTTAACTGCAGACAACATGAGCTGTAACCTTGAGAAGAATGAATACAGGATTGGTGATCACTCAGCAAGAGGAGCAGAGAGAGGAAGACATTTGAAGAGAAAGGAAAGAAAAACAAAAGAAGAGAGGGGATGAGACATGAAAAGAGTAAAGTGAAGAGAGGTGAAGAGATAGAAAAAGGAACAAAAGACACAATAGGAAAGAGCAAAAAAAAGAAGAAAAAAGATGAGAAGAGAACAGAAGCAAAGAGAAGAGGTGATAATAACACACCTGCCTCCGTAACTGTCTGCTCGCAGTGCGCAAAGATGCCGGTCTCTTGAGGACTGAAGTATCTGGAACGTAGGAGGGACTCAGCTTGTTTCTGTCTAAACTATCTTCAGGACTGAGCCAGTGAGAGGGGCGTCTGCTGGCACTATGTGTGGGGCTCAGTCGGAGTGACGGGTTTCTGTCGATACTGTGGCTGGACATGAGCTTTGGTCTGTCTGTGTTATGATCTTGATTCAGCCTGTATCCATCCATACTGTGAGCAGAGCTGAGTCTGTGTCTCTGTAGTCGATGAGTCGGGCTGAACTTGTATCCATCTATACTATGAGCTGAGTTAAGTCTGTGTCTGTTTATCCTGTGAGTCGGACTGAACCTGTGTCTGTCTACACTGTCTGCTGGATTGAGTCTGTGCGGGGAGTGTCTGTCGCTGGTCTGAGAGGTGCCAAGGAAGATCATCGGCCTTGAGCTGCGTCCAGACCCCAGGGAAGCGTGGCTGATGGCAGGCAGAGCGCCTGGGACCTGCAGCAGTGAACCACCTCCGCTGGAGCCCAGAGATGACATAGAGTCTGCAGAGAACAGAGTGGTAAAAATCACATGGGTGTATCGATGAAAAGAAAACAACAGAATAAGGTATATACTGTACAGTGTTTCCAGATCAGTACCAGCTTTACTGGCCAAGTATGTACGCACATGCACACACGAGCTGACTAGTTTCAAGATACATAGAAAGACAAAGACAACAGAGCTGAATGAAAATACTGCAAGTAAACCTTTAATTATTATGTAAATACATGCAAGTGAAAACTCAATGGATATAGAAATGTACATATACTGTAAAAATCAACAATGAACAACATACAGTTTCTACATAAAGTCACACTGTAAACAAGAATACAGGCACTGTAATAAAAATTTGTCTGAACCTCGGATGATTTTAGCTGTAAGAGATAATATTTAAACTCCAATAAAACAGGAAAATGATACTCTTCACAGACATGCACATATTAAAAATGTCCAATGTTAAGTTTTATATTTAACCTACAAGGAAACCCACCATATAATTTCCATGTCTTATTTTCAAACTAATCCAAACATTCACACTCACTCCACCAGAGGCGAGTGTTCTGTAGGATATTTTTGATTAAAATCACATCCTCCTAACAGGGTGAGGATGGTGATATTGTATATTTTTCCAAACACATCCCATCAAAAGACCAAAATTAACAATTAACAAGCGTTGTCTGTGTGCCCAAAGCCTGATGGAGCTCCATTTACAGTATGTTAACACATAAATAAGCTACAGTGTTGTACTGAGTGACCTGTTCCTACATTCTAATGAAAATCGGTTTATTTTGAGCCAGTGTCACACACAGTGCACAATCCTGCTGTACTGAATACTCACTGAAGCACCTACAGTAGTGTCTAATAATGTGCAGGTGAAAATAGGCCCCAACAAATATACTCCTATTTGAGTGCTATATATTTGTTATTTTTAAATCTTTTGGGTTTTCCCCCTGTCATTGTATATTACTTTTATTAGTATCAGATATTTACTTGTGCACATAAATAAAGTTCTACCTGAAAACTCACTGTTATTCTGCTTTGATGTAAGGAATTTGCAACATTAGCTAAGCTGCTCTAAAATGCCCAGAGGGAAATGTACCAACCTGAAAATATCAGGGTACGATGGAGCCACCACCTGTGAAAAAAATGTCACTAATGCTCTTCACATCTAGTCCCATCATTATTACTAAACATTATTATTTTCAGGTTTATAATAACAGTACACCTCATTGTACAACATGGTTGCACCGGTTAGTGGTTATAGCACAGCAGAAAGGGTTCCAGAATTTAATTGGCTAGAAACAATCAAAGTACCTGAGTAGCTGTAGCTGGAGCAGGCCTCGTGGCCAATGGGAGGGTAAGGGGAGAATCTGAGTGGCTGGACGTAGCTGTCGCTGGGGAGAGACAGCATGCATCCCATGCTCAGCAGGTTGCCATGGCAACACTCCTCATCCTCAACCTGCACCTGCCACATAGCATCATCAGTGCTGTCACTGTTACTGTCACTTCCACTTCACACATGTGAGAATATGAGCACACACTGTGCATTACCTGGGCAGGTGTGTCCACATTTGGTCTCAAGTCTCCACCCACAGATGCAGTACTGAGGCGTCGGCTGGCCTCCTCCCTCTCCCTGTCCTCCCTCTCCTTCTGCTCCTTCTTCTCCTCCAACTCCTCCAGCTGAGCTTCCTTGTTGCTCTCCTCCAGATGCTTCATGAGAACAGCTACAACCACATTGACCAGAACGAACTGAGCTGTTAGGACAAAGGTGACGAAGTAAACCGGAGAAATCAAGGGCAGGTAGGTGAGGCAGTGGCGATCCTGTGGGCGACACTCTCGCAGCGTGTCCTGGATGACGAGAGTATGAGGAGGGGATAAAGATTATTAAGTAATGAAGAAAACTGATGGCAGATAAAGGGAACTATCAGGTTTAGTATGTTGGATTTCCTCTCCTCTCCAACAGGGGGAGGTGTTGATCTGAGTGTAAAAGGACCTTAATCCTGTCACAGAAGAATAATACACTCTCCCATCCCTCTAATGTCAGCAGCTTTTAGTCTGTCATAAAAACAGTGATCTGCTCTCTGCTTAATGCAACGCCTGTCTCATAACCAATGTTCTGAGACTCACACATATGTACAGACACAAACACGGATTTTGTGATCCCTCTATCTTCTTAAACACTCCCACAGGGGAGAGGAAAGAAAGAGAAATAACCTTCATAATCCCATTCCAGTTGTCTCCGGTGGACACCCTGAAGAGTGTGAGGAAAGCCATGCCAAAGTTGTCAAAGGTAGCGTGGCGACTAAGACCCTCACATGGGTTTTCCTCTGAGCACTCTGAAAGAGGATAAAAAAAAAGGGAAACGAGTATTAGAAGCAGTAAGCGTGGAAGAGGAAGGCAAAGGGGGAGAAGAAAGAGAATTGTGTGTAGATCAGAGCACTGATTAGAACACTGATTCTAAATTGACATAATTAATGTATGTAACACAACAAAATTTATTCAGGTTACATAATCCACGGATATCTCACCAGTGTCAGCTGAGGCGCACGCACACATCTGCGCATCAGAACTGATTTATATGCATGCACACCCATGCTCACACACACACGCGCGCATGCATACACGCACACACACACACACTAACCCAGTTTTCCAAAGAGCTCAACTCCCAGAGCTGCATAGATGAAGAACAGCAACATGAAGAGCAGACCCAGATTCCCCACCTAGACAGACGCACGCAACACAGATATATACAGTGTATGATACACAGAAAAAAAGACAACAGGTACAGTATACATCGAGAAAGACGCAAGCATGCAAACAGATAGAAAGAGGCCATAGACAGAGATTTCTAAGCCTTACTGCATTGATGTGTACTGATTCCTATAAACTATCAGGAGCCATCGCCTCAGATTCCAGTTTGAGAAACATACTGTAGGTGCATTTGTGCAGCCAGGATCCAGTCCTCATGAATGACAAACATGCCTGTTTATTTGGATTAGCAAACAATTCACAGGGACTTGGTTCACCTCCCCTCATGGCAGGAGCTGTCTAATTAAATGACAGATAAATCTATTGATGATGCACAGAGGAAAACGCACTTGAACACCACTGCAGAGACCAGAGTTCAGTCCCTGGCAGTGATGTGTCACTTCAAAGACAACTTTGTGGGTGGGAAATGCAGAGTATTTTTGTGCAGAGAGATTCCCACTGGTTTGTTGGCATAGATGAACATGGGCTCTGTGAGAGACAGTGTGAAGCTACTATGATTTTCGAATTACCAATTCAAATTTGGTGATGTAAAACGAAGACAGATTTAATTTAGCTGAAGTCATAGCCTGTATATAAAAGATCTTTTATACAGTCAGTGGCTGGAGCTCAAACACAGGACCACACCTTAAATAGTTTCTAAACACTTTCTTGCCCTGTATACCTTTTGTTCTCATTTACCGTGCACCACCCTCCCTCCGCCTTTTTTCTCCCCCATCCCCTGAGGGTCCGCCAGAGCTGTGGTAGAGCCTTCCTGAAGCCTTCCCTGCACCTGAGCCATCATACTCAAATATACTAACACATAAGAGTATACAGCCACACTAACAGATGAAGGCAGAGCACTGCTTTGAGCTATGACACTAACATGCTCAGAATAACAATGTTAGTGTGATGATATTTAGCAGCGGTGTTTGCCATGTCACCATCTTACGTTAGCTTGCTAACGGTTGCTAATGAACTCAAGCAGAAGTTCAGCTGAGGTTCACTGGAATCCCACTAGTTTTGGTCATAAATTAAAACAAGTTAAATTATTGACCTGAAGACAGACACAGTAATGTTAGTGTCACAGAAATTACTACAACTGATCCTAAGGGGGACATGAATGAAGTTAATATAAATATTAACAACGCGTCACCTCTTCCATTCACTATGCAAAAGCGAAGCCAAAATATCATGAATCTGGCAGCTGCCATCTTGGCATTTTGCAACCAGATTCTGAGCAGTAGCAACCAAGTAGTTGAGTGACGTATCAGACCACCAATCAAAGCTGTCAAATCATCCTAAATACACCGCTTTTTATATCATAAAACAACTTATTAAAAACAAACCTACCAGAAATGACCACTTGTACACACATCAGTGTGATATTATCTACAAAACAGATAATATCCGCCCTCTTCCATGTTAGTGGAGGACGGATTTATGACCTATACTGCAATCAGCCACCAGGGAGCGATCGACTGGCAGCGGCTTCACTTCTGGGAGCTGTCACATTAACCAGTATATAATCAGTGGTTTGCACTCGATTTTCATGGCAATCTATCCGATAGTTGTAGAGACATTTCACTCAAAATCACAAATATCAAACCTCATAGTTTCAGCTAATGCCAGGAGCATCTTGCAATGTGCAGATGTCATGAATGTCTGTACAGACTTTCATGACAATCCATCCAGTGGTTGATATATTGTAGTCTGGAACACAGCGGTCAACCACCCACTTGACATTTCTAACATTGAAGCCAAGTCACTAATGTTTCTAAATACACATTGATGGTTTAGCCCTTGCTCATAAATTTTATGTTCAGACCAACAAGACAGGTCATTCCCCTGCCACCAGGAACCAATCCATTCCCAAACCGTACTGTGGTTTGCACATTTCCAGGGCCTCAGAAACGGACTGTGCCTAGGCTGAGATTGGGCTGAAAAGTGTGATGCCCTGCTCAGAAGAAGGTCCCAGAGCACCATACCCCTACCTGCCCAATTACATCACTACATTATGATTGGCAGAGAGAAAACGTGAGCAACAGGAAGTGTCTCAGCCAACGAAAGAGACCCACCCTCTTTAAAAAAAAAAAGGAAGACAGAAGGAGGATATGGAAGCACATTATGAAACAATAAAAGGAAGCCAGGAACCAGGCCTCATAAACCATATTGCCATATCACAGAGCTATGTCATCTGGAAATCTTCTGCTTTGGTCAGGTATGAGCAATTGTCTACACCTGAAAGAATGTTTGATTGTGTGAGGCTTGTAGAATTGGAATAATTTTATTTATCAGCTCAGACACATCAAAGTAGAGAAGAAAACGGCAGTGTTTTTCACTGCTGTGTGGTGCCGTTGTGTATGATAAGCTTTCATACTTTATCTTCTCACAGACATCATGTTGCAAAACAACTGGACCAAAGAAGCAATGTCATAAAGTTTTGTTATTTAACTGGTGATTTATCAGCCTTTAGTTAAACAGGAGGCTGTGTTTAAGGGTTATATGGGGGTCACTGGGTTAACAGCAGCCAGTTCCAGGAATCGGTGATGGTATTACAGTAAATGATCTGTGAAGCAATAAATGCAAGGCCTCATAAATCGCTAAACAAAACAAGCTGTCTGCAGCTTATCAGGCTAACAGTTAAGCAGACATCCTCTACAGAATCAGTGCTGCCTCTTACCTGAGGCAGAGCTTGCATCACGGTGTCCAGAAGGGCTCTCATTCCTGTAGCCATCTTCAACAGCTTCAGCACTGAAACAACGTGCAACGTGTCAGCTCTTACCAGCCATGTTTCATCCTGTTTGTTTGTTTTGGTGTTTGTGTCACTGTGCATGTACCTCGTGTTATCCTCAGGACTCTCATGATGCGTATGATGGTGGGGTTGATGGGCAGGGAAGCGTTCAGGTCTATTTCCTCCAGTGTGATACCCATGATGGACAACAACACAATGGCGAGGTCCAGCTGGTTCCATCTTAACACACACACACACACACACCCATGATTTTGGGTTCTCTAATGATGAAATTGTATTTTTGTGAGGGTCAAAATACCTCTCTTTGAAAAAGCGCCGCAGGCCAAAAGCGATGAGTTTGAGAATGGCCTCGATGACAAATACCACTGTGAAGACGTAATTGCAGTACTTCAGTATCTCCTCGAGGTACTGCAGGACACACATGCAGAGACACACACCTCAAAACCCCACCGTGGCTGTACTGTACCACCGCATGCCGCTTCATTACTATGGTTCTAGGACAGGTGTTGCCATGGTTACCTTAGGCTGGTTGTAGTGCTCCATGCTCATGGTGAGGAGGTTTGTGAAGATGATAATAGTGATGAAGAGATCCAGGTATTGGCTGGTGCACACTGTGTGGATGGATCGACGCAGTGGGGAGTAGTCAGCGTAATATGGCTTCTCCTGGGCCCCTGAGTTGCGTGCACACATACATAAACACGCACGCACACGCACACACATACACAGTCATTAAAATGCTTCTGAAAGAAAAATATGCACGCGCTATGAAGTCACTGATGAAGTGAGTGCCAAGTGGCGCACTGCTGTGTGTTTGAGTGTGCATATGTGTGTGTACAGACTAAAAGTGCCACCTCAGGAATTAAATCCTATCCATCACACACACACACACACTCGGTGGCACCTCAAGGTGTCTTTGGGCAGAAACCCTCACTGTCTGCTGCCAGACAGCTAACTGACTAAGAGGAAAGCACTACTAGAGATTACATTGCAGAGAGAGAGAGGACAGAGTGAGACAGAAATAAAGTTGAGCAGTGCTTAGTAGTGGCCAATATGGCCAGAAAATATGGATGAACTGTACTAATACAGTATGCAGTATCCTCTTTTAAAAGAGAGGTTCAGTATGTGAAGGCAATATATAGCCAAAGGTCTGTAGAGTCCTTGTCTTGTGTATACTTGACTTGGGGAAGTTTTAGGATTTGCTCAAATATTATAGACAATAATGTGCTTCCAACTTTGCAGCACTAGTTTTAACATAACAATGCCGTGTACACAAAGTCAAGTCCATAAAGACATGGTTTTCCCAGTACGATGTGGAATAATTGAACTGGACTGCAAGGAACTCTGACCTCAACCTCATCCAGCACCTTTGGGTTAAACTGCAAGCCAGGTTGATTCGTTCAGCATCAGTGCCTAAGCTCACCAATATTCACCAGATGCAGGTACACTGCGGTCCAGTTATATCACGAATCTGTAACATCTCCATCATGTTTCTAGTATCCACTGGAAGCATGTAACATTAATTTCCTTAAAAGGTGTATATTAGCAGAAGGAAACCTATAGCATTTCTTCTTCTGCTGTGTCACTTCTGAAAAAGAAGTGACATAAACAGGAAAAAACAAGTTTTGCTGTCTGTAAAAACAACTTATGTACATTTAAAAGTGAATCTCATACTTCACTCTCAGAGTGCAGGCCTGTTTGTGGCTCCTAGTGTCCACAGACGTAGGATGGGAGGCAGAGCCTTTAGCTATCAAGCTCCCTTAGTTATGCTGCTATGGGTCTAAACTGCTGGGGGTCCCCCCATGATGCCCTGAGCTCCTCTCCTCTCCCCCCTTCATTCTCCATGCATCTATATGTCTCCTCTCTCTCTCCCTGTACCTTTCTGCAGGTTGCCCTGGCTCTGGAGCTCTGCATTTCTGATGAGCAGTCACCAGCCACATCAACCTGCCCAGTGTTTGATTGTTTGTTGTTGTGTTTTTTGTGTCTTGTTGTTTTTTTCCTTTCCTTTCTCTCCTCTATCTATTCACCCCACTGTCGGAGGTTTCTTCTGTTAAAGGGAGTTTTTCCTCCCCAGTGTTGCCAAGTACATGCTCAATAATAATAACAACAATAATATCTAGACTTTACTATGTAGAGTGCCCTGAGATTATTTTTGTGATTTGATGCTATACAAATAAAATTGAATTAAACTGAACTGATGTGAACAACTCATAGACCTGACATGAAAAGAGAGCAGAGTGAAGAGCCACACGGAAGCCAGGAGTAAGATGCTATAGTCACAGGTAGCGTGGACACTGACACACTATAGCTATAATGGCAGCGGATTGCCTCCAGCAGCTGCGATGTATCCAGAACGAATTGGATATGGAGAATAATGCTCTTGTGTGACAGCTTATCCCTGCAGCCAGGATCCAAAGTCTAGTGGAAAGTCATCGCATAAGTGTGGAGCCCGTTATAGAAGGAGATTAATGCTGATGGTTTTGACAATTACATATGGGTGTAGTGCTCAGGTATCCGCATACTTCTGACAATATATGGTATGCCTTGCACTCATTCGCTCCCCCCATTCCTGTGTTGCTTTCTCACTTCTCCTCCTCTTCTCCAACCGTTTCTGCCGTTTCTCCTCCCTCAGTCGCGCTTCCTCCTCCTCCTGCTGCTGGCGACACTTGTGAAAGTTCTCCACCACCACGCCCACAAACATGTTGAGCACAAAAAAGCTGACGATGAGCAGGAAAGAGATGAAAAACAGCAGCATCCACGGGTTGTTGTTTCTTATTGGCTGCAGCAAGAGAAGATGAGAGGAGGGGAGTTAGTGTGGAGACCAAAAAGAGTGACAAAACAGAGTTAATAGGGGTGGAGAAGAAGACAAGGAGAGAGCGTAAACCAGAAGACAATGTAAGTCCTGAATCAGCAGTGAAACTGCCAGCACTGTCAGATCACATATATTTATCCATCTGTGTTTTTTCTTTTCTTACAGCTCCCCTCTGTCCTGAAACATTTCCTCTTTCTGCTTGAAACAAACCAGATGAAACAGTACCCGAGACACAAAACAGAACCAAAACAGTGACATACAACAAACCACACCTTCTCTCTCCGTGTGTGTGTGTGTGTTCACCTGCTGGTCCACTGCGACAGCATCCAGGCCATCATACATGATGCTGACCCAGCCGTCCTTACAGGACAGCACAAACAGCGACATCAGCGCCTGCAAGAGAGAGAGATGCATATAAATCAGCATCATACTATCAATCCACCTGTAGGAGGTGTCGGGCCTGGATGTGTGTGTGACAAACCTGTCCCAGGTTGTCAAAGTTGTATTTCCGTCGGACCCAGCGGTATCCTGCGTCCATGCATTGAGTTTTATTGGTGATGTTACTCACATCGTAGTTATGCTGCTATGGGTCTAAACTGCTGGGGGTCCCCCCATGATGCCCTGAGCTCCTCTCCTCTCCCCCCTTCATTCTCCATGCATCTATATGTCTCCTCTCTCTCTCCCTGTACCTTTCTGCAGGTTGCCCTGGCTCTGGAGCTCTGCATTTCTGATGAGCAGTCACCAGCCACATCAACCTGCCCAGTGTTTGATTGTTTGTTGTTGTGTTTTTTGTGTCTTGTTGTTTTTTTCCTTTCCTTTCTCTCCTCTATCTATTCACCCCACTGTCGGAGGTTTCTTCTGTTAAAGGGAGTTTTTCCTCCCCAGTGTTGCCAAGTACATGCTCAATAATAATAATAACAATAATATCTAGACTTTACTATGTAGAGTGCCCTGAGATTATTTTTGTGATTTGATGCTATACAAATAAAATTGAATTAAACTGAACTGATGTGAACAACTCATAGACCTGACATGAAAAGAGAGCAGAGTGAAGAGCCACACGGAAGCCAGGAGTAAGATGCTATAGTCACAGGTAGCGTGGACACTGACACACTATAGCTATAATGGCAGCGGATTGCCTCCAGCAGCTGCGATGTATCCAGAACGAATTGGATATGGAGAATAATGCTCTTGTGTGACAGCTTATCCCTGCAGCCAGGATCCAAAGTCTAGTGGAAAGTCATCGCATAAGTGTGGAGCCCGTTATAGAAGGAGATTAATGCTGATGGTTTTGACAATTACATATGGGTGTAGTGCTCAGGTATCCGCATACTTCTGACAATATATGGTATGCCTTGCACTCATTCGCTCCCCCCATTCCTGTGTTGCTTTCTCACTTCTCCTCCTCTTTTCCAACCGTTTCTGCCGTTTCTCCTCCCTCAGTCGCGCTTCCTCCTCCTCCTGCTGCTGGCGACACTTGTGAAAGTTCTCCACCACCACGCCCACAAACATGTTGAGCACAAAAAAGCTGACGATGAGCAGGAAAGAGATGAAAAACAGCAGCATCCACGGGTTGTTGTTTCTTATTGGCTGCAGCAAGAGAAGATGAGAGGAGGGGAGTTAGTGTGGAGACCAAAAAGAGTGACAAAACAGAGTTAATAGGGGTGGAGAAGAAGACAAGGAGAGAGCGTAAACCAGAAGACAATGTAAGTCCTGAATCAGCAGTGAAACTGCCAGCACTGTCAGATCACATATATTTATCCATCTGTGTTTTTTCTTTTCTTACAGCTCCCCTCTGTCCTGAAACATTTCCTCTTTCTGCTTGAAACAAACCAGATGAAACAGTACCCGAGACACAAAACAGAACCAAAACAGTGACATACAACAAACCACACCTTCTCTCTCCGTGTGTGTGTGTGTGTTCACCTGCTGGTCCACTGCGACAGCATCCAGGCCATCATACATGATGCTGACCCAGCCGTCCTTACAGGACAGCACAAACAGCGACATCAGCGCCTGCAAGAGAGAGAGATGCATATAAATCAGCATCATACTATCAATCCACCTGTAGGAGGTGTCGGGCCTGGATGTGTGTGTGACAAACCTGTCCCAGGTTGTCAAAGTTGTATTTCCGTCGGACCCAGCGGTATCCTGCGTCCATGCATTGAGTTTTATTGGTGATGTTACTCACATCGTGCCCGTCACAGTAGAAGAATTTCCCCTTAAACAGCTGCACACACGTCCAGATGTGTGCGCACGGATAAAACCAAACAAAAACAATGTAACCTCAGCAGAATGTAAACAAAGCTTAACAGAGCAGAGAAAAGATTGATGCATGAGTGTGCACTAAGTTGCTGAGCGAGAGCCTACAGGATTACTACACAGCTAACATATCCAAGTACCATGTGGTCCAGTCTGGCTCACAGGCAGGAACAGCATGGTGTGTTCTCATTAGAAGATAATCCAACAGTGATGTATTTTTGAGAAATATATGGCTGTGTGTTGACATTAGCCTCAACATTCATCAAGCATAATTTCCTGTGCAAGCATTAAATCTGAATATTAGCATGAAGATTTGCAAAAAAGGGAAGTGCCATAAAGATGAGGAGAGCTTACAAAAACACTGAAAGGCCACTAGTACAAAGGTACCACTGGAAAACATTTTAAAAACCACAGGGGTCCCCAACTTTTTTGGTATGCGACCCCAAAACATGAAGCAGTGTGTGGGTATAAGATTAGAGCAGTTCAACTTCGGTGCCTGGATTCTTTTTTTAAGGATTTCTGAGGCATGAGGAGGTTAAAATAGCCAATAAAAATGCAATAACAAGCCTTGTATCTTTAATTATTTGGAAAAGCATGGTTGTCTCTTTTCTAACAAACAGGGCTTGAATTAAATATAAATAGCATCTGTTTTGAATATTTAAAAAATATGAAAATTGCCTATATAAATAACTAATAAAATGTATGAATTAATAAAGTTAATAATCCACAAATCCAGGTGAAAATCGGATTAAAAAAATACATTCCCAGCACCATCCCCCTTTAGTCAAACCATTGTTTTTTAAATGACTTCCAGGGACTCTGGTGCATAATCAGCAGCTCATTAGCATTTTCTCCCAATTTTTCAATTCACTTTTTATTACCCGAGGCATTTTCTGAGCTGTGCCTCATATATTTTAAACCACGGTGATCAGTGTCTTCTTGCAGCAGAAAACACAACAAGCTTTGGATGTTCTGGGACATAAAACTGTGTCAAGATAAATTATAACTGAGCATTTCTCTGGTAAAAATCATTACAACCCAAAACTGTTTAAAAGCCTTATCTTCAGCCAGCTGATGAACAATATAAATTTTTACCTGAACGCCTAATATTCCAAAGACGATGAAAAAAGCACAGCAAATCAGGACAATATTCCCGATGGGTCTGAGAGATGTGATCAGAGTCTCCACCACCAGTTTTAGACCTGGAGCTCGACTTATCACCCTGCAACACACAGACTCACAGCCACACCCTGGATAATACCAGTGGATTAACATTAGTGGCAATCACTTATGTAACTACCTGAGAGGTCGCAGGGTGCGGAGCAGACGAAGCACACGGAGGATGCCTAAGATTCGATTACCACCTGCTGATGCGAGGGAGACCAGGATGTCCACCAGCGACACAAACACCAGCAGCCCGTCTAATATATTCCAGCTGCTCTGCAGGTACACACCCTTTCCAAAGTACAGGCCCATAGCTACCACCTTAACACACACACATAAATCCAACACAATTAATAAAATAATAAACTAAAATGAGGTACAAAATAAGCAAATCTGATCTGACAACTGCCTTCATAAGCAAGATGAGAAAATGACTTTGCAGTGTTCGCCCTGAGAACGTGTGCTGTTCTGGTTACCTTGATCATCATTTCACCCACGAAGATCACAGTAAAGATGTAATTAGATGCACTGAGGAAAACCCGCTCCTGTCACACACACATACACGTGGGAATGCGCACACACACACACACACACACACACACACAGAAAAGCACATTCATCAGTGTCACAGTTTTCATGTCCCAGTAGCTTTAGCGTTGATTCTGGCCTCAAACTACAGTAATTGCAATGTGTTACATAATGAGGTGAAAAAAATCCATTACTGTTGTGGTAGAAACATAATAAAAGCATAATGGGAACAGCACATGTTCCTATAATGACCCCCAAACCACTCTTACATCAATTGCAAACACATGAGCGCCG